CAACTCCTGAATAACACACTACATCTCCTCCTAAGCTGACAGAAAATGCCCCATGTCCTGGCTGTCACCCTACGAGGGGCCGCTAATGTCATTGACACTCTGTTGGGGCCTCATAGGATCCCCCTGTCCTGACAGAAAATCCCCCATATCCTGGCTGTCACCCTACGAGGGGCCACTAATGTCACTGACACTCTGTTGGGCCCTCATAGAATCCCCCAGCTCTGATAGAAAATGCCCCATGTCCTGGCTGTCACCCTACGAGGGGTCGCTATGTCACTGACACTCTGGGCCACTACGAGGGGCCACTAATGTCACTGACACTCTGTTGGGCCCTCATAGAATCCCCCAGCTCTGATAGAAAATGCCCCATGTCCTGGCTGTCACCCTATGAGGGGTCGCTAATGTCACTGACACTCTGTTGGGCCCTGTAGGATCCCCCCTGCCCTGACACAAAATACCTCATGCCCTGGCTGTGACCCAATGAGGGGCCGCTAATGTCACTGACACTCTTTTAGGCCCTGTAGGATCCCCCCTGCTCTGACAGAAAATCCCCCATGTCCTGGCTGTCACCCTACAAAATGCCGCTAATGTCACTGACACTCTGTTAGGTCCTGTAGAAAATACCCCATGTCCTGGCTGTCACCCTACAAGGGGCCACTAATGTCACTGACACTCTGTTAGGTCATCATAGAGTCCCGCCGCTCTGACAGAAAATCCCCCATGTCCTGGCTGTGACCCCACAAAGGGCCACTAATCTCACTGACACTCTATTGGGCCATGTAGGATCCCCCCGCTCTGACAGAAAATACCCCATGTCCTGGCTGTCACCCTACGAGGGGCTGCTAATGTCACTGACACTCTGTTGGGCCCTCATAAAATCCCCCCGCCCTGTCAGAAAATACCCCATGTCCTGGCTGTGATCCTACGAGGGCCTGCTAATATCACTGACACTCTTTTGGGCCCTGTAGGATTCCCCCCGCCCTGACAGAAAATACCCCATGTCCTGGCTGTTTCCCTACAAGGGGCCGCTAATGTCACTGACACTCTTTTGGGCCCTGTAGGATCCCCCTGCCCTGACAGAAAATACCCCATGTCCTGGCTGTGATCCTATGAGGGGCCGCTAATGTCACTGACACTCTGTTAGGCCCTGTAAGGTCCCCCTCCCTGACAGAAAATCCCCCATGTCCTGGCTGTTTACCTACGAGGGGCCGCTAATGTCACTGACACTCTTTTGGGCCCTGTAGGATCCCCCCGCCCTGACAGAAAATACCCCATGTCCTGGCTGCGACCCTACGAGGGGCCGCTAATATCACCAACACTATGTTGGGCCCTGTAGGGTCCCCCCGCCCTGATAGAAAATACGTCCTGGCTGTGAGCCTGTGAGGGCCCTGCAGCGTGTTGGTGACCTAGGCGCACCCTGAAACCTCACAGGCGGACAATCCCTTCATTTGAGATTTTGCTGTCCTGGTCATGAAATTGCTGGAGCAGAAGGGGGTACATTCATGACACTTTAATCAGCTGTGGAGCATTGGGGCTTGTGCTCAGGGGCAGTGCGTTGCGTAGGGGCTCATTCACACTGCGAGCGTTAGCCTGCATTTTTGCCCGCAATGGATAAATACAGGTCACCTAGAAAACAATGGTTTTCTCTGCGCCCCCCCCCCCCCTTCACACTACATATATGGCGTGGGGCAATGCGGAAAAACGTCCACATTTTTCCTGCCCAGCCCTGGATGGCACCGCATGTCACCACGCAGCACCGCAACACATCACACTGCTATGCAGAGACACAAATGAATTGTCATTATGCGATGATTCAAATAAAGCTGAGAAAAGAAAAACACTGAAACGCACATTGCACTGCACCCTACTGGCACAAAGCTGCATTTCACCGCGCGGACTAGTGCGATCGTGCGACTTTTATGTGCAGCTCTTCGGCCAGATAGAAGCCGGTCTCACGACCCACTTCTGTCGGATGGGCATGCTGGAAAAACAGCATCCAATCAGCATGTAATTAGTGCTGATAGCCAATGGCTGCCAGTGCTGACCAGTGGCGGGGGACCGAAATGTCCGCATGTCGACTTTATTAGACAACACCTCCATGCAGAAATTGTTCTCTATCCCCCTTTGCACTGAGCCTGCGTCAGTCTAGGCCAGGGGTAGGCAACCTGCGGCTCTCCAGGTGTTGTGGAACTACATTTCCCATGAGGCATTGCAAAGATTACAAAGCTGATAGTTACAGCTATGACTTGTAGAGGCATGATGGAACTTGTAGTTGTGCGGCTCTCAGCTTGCCTACCCCTGGTCTATGCAGACGAGCGAAGTTCAACAAACATGGTGACCCTCTAACAGCGCCGGAGGTTTGGTTGATGCTTCTGTGAGCACGGATGAAATGACGCAAAGAAGTTCCTGACTATTTTCCAGAAATGTGTTACGCTGAACCGCATGGTGCATGCGGAACAAGATGGGGGCGGAACACCTGGTGCGCAGGGTGACGGTGAGGAACAGAGCTCCCATTGATGGGTGTATCACCCTGAGTGCTTTGGTGCCCTTGCTCTCGACCCCACCCCGTCCTCCGCTTTCCCATAGTTAGCATGGAGTATGCATTGGCCATGTTTGCTCATTCGCTTGCTTTCTGGCAGTAGAGTGGGTGGGCAGATGCATGTACGTGGTGTGGTCTTCTTGGGGGGTGCACGGCGTGAAAGCATTAGGAGCCCAGTAGAAGGGAAACTGAGACCCAATAGATGCCCACCATTGATCTGGAGTGTGCATGTAGTGCTCACATCATGGCGCCCACCTCCTTCATTAAGTAGAGGGCCCAGGGCACCTGACCCTCCTGCCCACCCCCTTCATTAAGTAGAGCGCCCAGGGCGCCTGACCCTCCTGCCCAGCCCCTTCATTAAGTAGAGTGCCCACGGCGCCTGACCCTCCTGCCCACCCCTTCATTAAGTAGAGTGCCCAGGCGCGCCTGACCCTCCTGCCCACCCCCTTCATTAAGTAGAGCGCCCAGGGCGCCTGACCCTCCTGCCAACCCCTTCATTAAGTAGAGCGCCCAGGGCGCCTGTCCCTCCTGCCAACCCCCTTCATTAAGTAGAGTGCCCAGGGCGCCTTTCCCTCCTGCCCACCCCCTTCATTAAGTAGAGTGCCCAGGGTGCCTGACCCTCCTGCCCACCCCCTTCATTAAGTAGAGCGCCCAGGGCGCCTCCCTCCTGCCAACCCCCTTCATTAAGTAGAGTGCCCAGGACGCCTGACCCTCCTGCCCACCCCCTTCATTAAGTAGAGTGCCCACGGCGCCTGTCCCTCCTGCCCACCCCCTTCATTAAGTAGAGCGCACAGGGCGCCTGACCCTCCTGCCCACCCCCTTCATTAAGTAGAGTGCCCACGGCGCCTGTCCCTCCTGCCCACCCCCTTCATTAAGTAGAGTGCCCAGGGTGCCTGTCCCTCCTGCCCACCCCCCATTAAGTAGAGTGCCCACTGCCCCTCCTGCCCACCCCCTTCATTAAGTAGAGTGCCCAGGGCGCCTGCCACTCCTGTCCACCCCCTTCATTAAGTAGAGTGCCCACGGCGCCTGACCCTCCTGCCCACCCCCTTCAATAAGTAGAGTGCCCAGGGCGCCTACCCTCCTGCCAACCCCTTCATTAAATAAAGTGCCCAGGGCGCCTGCCTCTCCTGCCACCCCTTCATTAAGTAGAGTTCCCAGGGCGCCTGACCCTCCTGCCCACCCCCTTCATTAAGTAGAGTGCCCAGGGCGCCTGCCACTCCTGTCCACCCCCTTCATTAAGTAGAGTGCCCACGGCGCCTGTCCCTCCTGCCCACCCCCTTCATTAAGTAGATTGCCACAGGGCGCCTATCCCTCCTGCCCACCCCCTTCATTAAGTAGAGTGCCCAGGGCGCCTGACCCTCCTGCCCACCCCCTTCATTAAGTAGAGTGCCCAGGGCGCCTGCCTCCCTGCCCACCCCCTTCATTAAGTAGAGTGCCCAGGGCGCCTGACCCTCCTGCCCACCCCCTTCATTAAGTAGAGTGCCCAGCTATTTAAGAACTGTCATTGTGGCGCAGCTGTCATACGGCGGGAGCCAGCCTCAAGAGCGGAGCTGTTTTTTTTCTTTTTCTTTTTTGTTTTTAATAAAGGACTTGTCAAAGACTGTCTACTGTCATTTTTCATACTACTCTTTTTTTTGTGAACGGGTAGCGGTACCATGTACCCTATACTCATTCACATGGGGGGGCGGGATCTGGGGGCCCTCTTATTAAAGGGGGCTTCCAGATTCCAAAAGGCCCCCCACCTGCAGACCCCCACAACCACCAGCCACGGTTGTGGGGAAGAGGCACTTGTCCCCATAAACATGGGGAAAAGGTGCGTTGGGGGCCCCAAAGCACCCCTCCTCCATGTTGAGGGCATGGGGCCTGGTATGGTTCAGGAAGGGGGGGTGCTTGCTCATCCCCCCTCTTTCCTGACCTGCTGGGGTGTATGCTTGGATAAGGGTCTGGTATGGATTTTGGGGAGGACCCACGCCATTTTTTTTTAATTTTGGCATTGGGGTTCCCCTCAAAATCCATACCAGACCTGAAGGCTTGATATGGATGGGGGGGAAACCTCACACTTTAAAAAAAAAAAAAAAAAAAAAAAAAAGTAAAGTGCCAGACAATGTCTGTTAATGAGCTTCCTCATTAACCCTTTCAAAGCTCATCCATTCTGCAGCAAGGCTCCTGGCCAGGGGCGGACTGACCATTTGGAAACTCGGGCACTGCCCGAGGGCCTGGGGTCAGTAGGGGGCCCCATGAGATGTCCCTGGTACCTTTTTCATAGGCTTTTTTGAGTTTGGGCAAGGACACAGGGGCCCCATGATCCCCTATTGCCCGGGGGACCCATGAGTTGTCAGTCCGCCCCTGCTCACTAGTACAGGGGTGTCAAACTGGTGGCCCTTCAGCTGTTGCGAAACTACAAGTCCCATCATGCCTCTGCCTTTGGGAGTCATGCTTGTAACTGTCAATCTTGCAATGCCTCATGGGACTTGTAGTTTGGCAAAAGCTGGAGGGCCGCCAGTTTGACACCAGTGCTGCGGACAGGGGTGGACTGACAACTCATGGGGCCCCCGGGCAATAGGGGATCATGGGGCCCCTGTGTCCTTGCCCAAACTCAAAAAAAGCCTATGAAAAAGGTACCAGGGGCATTTAATGGGGCCCCCTACTGACCCCGGGCCCTCTGGCAGTGCCTGAGTTTGCAAATGGTCAGTCGCCCCTGGCTGCTGACTAGCACATCGCAACCGCATTCATTACATGTGGTCGCAGAGGAGTTCTATTCTGTTGAAAAGTGACAGAGGATATAATTCCTGCTGCAGCCCTGCAGCTAAAGGGCAGCGGTAAAAAGGAAATTCAACCATAGAGTTTTTCACCCCCTCAGTATTAACGAGCCCTAACAGTTATTGTCCCTCTTCCAGACTGTGATTGGTCAGTGAAGGAGAAACAGCACAGTGATTAACTCCTGTCGTTGTCACTCTGCTCTCTCCTCCTGTCAGCATGCTCCTTGTTGGCACATGCAGCACAACTGGTTGGCTGCTTCTGCTTCCTTTCCCAGTCTGTGCTCTGCTGTACAAGAATTGCAAAAGGTTGACTCATGTACTTACATTGCTTGCATTTAAATCAACACATTCACGTGCAACATCAGGAGTCACGCACATATGCAGCTTTTTTTGCGCGTTGTCTACGTATGAGGCTGCCCTTTGGTCTCAATGGATCATGCTACGTGCAACAAAGGCGACAAAGCAGTTCATGCACCTTTTTGAGTTTCTAGCTTTGCATGTTTCTAACATGTTTATTTCCTGCAAAAAACACGTGCGTCCCCTGACGGCGTTGACAATAAATGGCCCCCCAAGCGTGATGCATGTTTTTTGTACATTTTGTGAGTCATAAATGAAATAAGAACATTGGGGTCAATGGTGTCACATCTCAATGCAGATGAGCAAGGAGCAGGGGCGGACTGACAACTCATGGGGCCCCCGGGCAATAGGGGATCATGGGGCCCCTGTGTCTTTGCCCAAACTCAAAAAAGCCTATGAAAAAGGTACCAGGGGCATCTCATGGGGCCCCCTACTGACCCCGGGCCCTTGGGCAGTGCCCGAGTTTCCAAATGGTCAGTCCGCCCCTGGCCAGGAGCCTTGCTGCAGAATGGATGAGCTTTGAAAGGGTTAATGAGGAAGCTGCTGCTGTTGGGGTAACTACTGCATAGCTATCCGAGATAGGAAAAATATTGCAGGGGTTATTGCTAGCAATCCAGACCAATGTGGTTGTTTAAGGGCCGGTTCACACTCCATGCGTTTCAGTTGCTTTTTTTTCTGCATTCCAAAACGCACAGGAAGTAGGTGATATGGCGGTCAATGTCATAGTTCACATCAGTGCTGCAGTTCCAGTGCATTTCGGTTGCAGAATAAAATGTAGAACAGGCTGCATTTTTTTCTGCACAGAACTGTACTGGAACAGGGTAAAACGCATCAAAAACTCATCGAAACGCATCAAAATGCATCCAAAACGCACAGAAAGTAGGTGATATGGTGGTCAGTGTCATAGTTCACATCAGCGCTTGCAGTTCCAGTTGCATAAAAAAAAAAAAAAAAAAAGTAGAACAGGCTGCATTTTTTTCTGCACAGAACTGTAGTGGAACGTGGTAAAACGCATCAAAAACGCACTGGAACGCATCAAGATGCATCCAAAACGCACAGAAAGTAGGTGCTATGGTCGTCAATATCATAGTTCACATCAGTGCTTGCAGTTCCAGTGAGCTCCGGTTGCAAAAAAAAAAAAAAAGTAGAACAGGCTGCATTTTTTTCTGCACAGAACTGTACTGGAACGTGGTAAAACGCATCAAAAACTCATCGGAACGCATCAAAATGCATCCAAAACGCACAGAAAGTAGGTGATATGGCAGTCAATGTCATAGTTCACATCAGTGCTGCAGTTCCAGTGAGTTCCGGATGCAGAAAAAAAGTAGAAATGGCTGCATTTTTTTCTGCACAGAACTGTAGTGGAACGTGGTAAAACGCATCAAAAACGCACTGGAACGCATCAAGATGCATCCAAAACGCACAGAAAGTAGGTGATATGGTCGTCAATATCATAGTTCACATCAGTGCTTGCAGTTCCAGTGAGTTCCGGTTGCAAAAAAAAAAAAGTAGAACAGGCTGCATTTTTTTTCTGCACAGAACTGTACTGGAACGCGGAAAAACGCATCAAAAACTCATCGGAACGCATCAAAATGCATCCAAAACGCACAAAAAGTAGGTGATATGGCAGTCAATGTCATAGTTCACATCAGTGCTGCACTTCCAGTGAGTTCCGGATGCAGAAAAAAAAGTAGAAATGGTTGCATTTTTTTCTGCACAGAGCTGTAGTGGAACGTGGTAAAACGCATCAAAAACGCACTGGAACGCATCAAGATGCATCCAAAACGCACAGAAAGTAGGTGATTTGGTCATCAATATCATAGTTCACAGCAGTGCTTGCAGTTCCAGAGCATTCGGGATGCAGAAAAAAAAAATAGAACAGGCTGCATTTTCTGCACAGAACTGTACTAGAGCGTGGTAAAACGCATCAAAAACACACCGGAACGCATCAAAAACACATTGGAATGCACATGTCCCATTTAAATTGAAGAAAAAGACGGGAAAAAATAAACTGCATGCATAAAAAACACACTGGAAAGCATCAAAATGCATCCAAAATGCACAGAAAGTAGGTGATATGGTTGTCAATTTGTTCATATCAGCACTTGCAGTTCCAGTGCGTTCTGGATGTAGAAAAAAAAAAAGGTAAAACAGGCCGTGTTTTCTCTGTGCAGAACTGTACTGGAACGTGGTAAAACGCATCAAAAACGCAACAGAACGCACATGTCTCTATTTAAATTGAAGAAAAAGAGGGGAAAGATGAACTGGAATGCATAAAAAACGCACAATGTCATAGTTCACATCAGCGCTTGCAGTTCCAGTGCGTTCCGGATGCAGAAAAAAAAATAGAGCAGGCTTCATTTTCTGCACAGAACTGTACTGGAATGCGGTAAAACAAATGAAAACGCACCGGAACGCACCAAAAACGCACTGGAACGCACATGTTCCTATTTCAATTGACGAAAAAGAGAGGGGGAAAAATGAACTGGCATGCATAAAAAACGCACTGGAATGCTTAAAAAATGCATCAAAAACGCACCGTAACGCGCTAAAAACAAGTAAAAAATGCGCATGCAAAAATGCATCTGGACTACGTATGCAAAAATGCATCTGGGCATCTATGGTGTGAACCGGCCCTAACAGTTCATCATACAAGGCCACAGGTGGCAAAAAAAAAGGACTGATGGGTTATAACCGTCCCTTAGGCTCCCTTCACACCTATGCAGTTTGCTTTTTTGTCCGTTTTGCAGTGCTTTTTGCAGTTCATTTTGCTCTTTTTTTTTTCTTCTAGGTGGAGTTTTTTTTTTTGCTGGGCAGAATAAAAATGCAAAACGCATAACGGGGCAAAAACCATGCCATTGTATTTCAGCAGATTCTCCACTGAACTCTGTTGTAGCAAAAATGCTGCTTTTTGCATTTAAAAAAGTCCCCGACCCTTTCCAAAAACGCAGCAGCTCAAAAAGCATAGATGAGAACAGGGGCGGACTGACCATTTTGAAACTCAGGCACTGCCCGAGGGCCCGGGGTCAGTAGGGGGCCCCATGAGATGCCCCTGGTACCTTTTTCATAGGCTTTTTTGAGTTTGGGCAAGGACACAGGGGCCCCATGATCCCCTACTGCCCAGGGGCCCCATGAGTTGTCAGTCCACCCCTGGGAGTTAATAAGCATGGCTTACTCAGTGCAAAAAAAGGGTTAATGCGGGGAAACACACAACTGTCAAGAAAGAGGTTCAAATCTCGGTGTGCTCTGTGTATTTCTTCCAGGTTTGGGGAGTAATCCAGTGTGAGACTTCCTGTAATAAAGACCGCTCACTGCTGCTCTCTCTTCTTGCGCAGGGGGACTGGTCTTATCTCCGCCCCCTCCTGTAGTTTCCTGCAGGCAGCCTGTAGAGGGTGGAGCCTGCTGGGTCCCTCCCACAGCTCTGCTGTCTGCACAGGCCATGTACAGCAGAATGAGGATGTCACCGCTACTTTTACAAGGTAATAGCTGGGTTTGTAAATACATAGGGTACATACAAAGTGGATATCCTTTGTGCCTATTGAGGAATATATTTCAATGAAAGTTTTTTTTTTCACAGTGTTCGGCTTTAATGCTGAGAGGGTGGGGGGTTAATACTGCCAGTGTTCAGCCACAGTTGCAAAGGCACAGGTTAATGCTACTAAAGCAACAGGGTTAATGCTGGCAGAGTACAGATCTAACAGGGAAGGAGATAATGAGGCCAAAGATAAGGTCTGGCAGGGAAGTAGTTAACGCTGACAGAGTATCAGGTCTGGCAGGCAAGAGGTTAATGATGTCAGAGAACAGATGTGGCAGGGAAAGGGATAATGCTGGCAGGGTATAGTTCTGGCAGGGAAGGGGTTAATACTGGTAGGTTATAGATCTGGCAGGAAAGGGGTTAATGCTGGCATAGTACAGGATCTGGCAGAGAAGGAGTTAATGCTGGCATAGTACAGAATCTGGCTGGGAAGGGGTTAATGATGCCAGAAAGAAGATCTGGTAGGGAAGGGGGTTAATGCTGGTAGGTTATAGATCTGGCAGGCAAGGGGTTAATCTGGCATAGTACAGGATCTGGCAGGGAAGGGGTTAATGATTGGCAGGGCCTGGCAGGGAAGGGGTTAATGCTGGTAGGTTATAGATCTGGCAGGGAAGGGGTCAATGATGGCAGGGTCTGGCAGGGAAGGGGTTAATGGTGGCAGGGGGCAGGGAAGGGGTTGAATGGTGGCAGGGCCTGGCCGGGAAGGGGTTAATGGTGGCAGGGAAGGGGTTAATGGCGGCAGGGAAGGGGTTAATGGTGACAGGAGGCAGGGAAGGGGTTAATGGTGGCAGGGCCTGGCAGGGAAGGGGTTAATGGTGGCAGGAGGCAGGGAAGGGGTTAATGGTGGCAGGGCCCGGCAGGGAAGGGGTTAATGGTGGCAGGGCCCGGAAGGGAAGGGGTTAATGGTGGCAGGGCCCGGCAGAGAAGGGGTTAATGGGGCAGGGTCTGGCAGGGAAGGGGTTAATGGTGGCAGGGGCAGGGAAGGGGTTAATGGGGCAGGGTCTGGCAGGGAAGGGGTTAATGGTGGCTGGGCCTGGCAGGGAAGGGGTTAATGGTGGCAGGATCTGGCAGGGAAGGGGTTAATGGGGGGCAGGGCCTGGCAGGGAAGGGGTTAATGGTGGCAGGATCTGGCAGGGAAGGGGTTAATGGGGGCAGGGCCTGGCAGGGAAGGGGTTAATGGTGGCAGGGAAGGGGTTAATGGTGGCAGGGTCTGGCAGGGAAGGGGTTAATGGTGGCAGGGGGCAGGAAAGCGGTTAATGGGGGGCAGGGCCTGGCAGGGAAGGGGTTAATGGTGGCAGGGAAGGGGTTAATGGTGGCAGGGGGCAGGGAAGGGGTTAAAGGTGGCAGGGTCTGTCAGGGAAGGGGTTAATGGTGGCAGGGCCTGACAGGGAAGGGGTTAATGGTGGCAGGGGGCTGGGAAGGGGTTAATGGGGGCAGGGCCTGGCAGGGAAGGGGTTAATGGTGGCAGGGCCTGGCAGGGAAGGGGTTAATGGTGGCAGGGGGCAGGGAAGGGGTTAATGGTGGCAGGGTCTGGCAGGGAAGGGGTTAATGGTGGCAGGGGCAGGGAAGGGGTTAAGGGTGGCAGGGGGCAGGGAAGGGGTTAATGGTGGCAGTGGGCAGGGCCTGGCAGGGAAGGGGTTAATGGTGGCAGGGGGCAGGGCCTGGCAGGGAAGGGGTTAATGGTGGCAGGGGGCAGGGCCTGGCAGGGAAGGGGTTAATGGTGGCAGGGGGCAGGGTCTGGCAGGGAAGGGGTTAATGGGGGCAGGGGCAGGGATCTGGCAGGGAAGGGGTTAATGGTGGCAGGGGGCAGGGTCTGGCAGGGAAGGGGTTAATGGTGGCAGGGAACAGGGCCTGGCAGGGAAGGGGTTAATGGTGGCAGGGAACAGGGTCTGGCAGGGAAGGGGTTAATGGTGGCAGGGAACAGGGTCTGGCAGGGAAGGGGTTAATGGTGGCAG